ACGCGTCTCAGCAGCAAGTCAATAAACCCGATGGCCGTGACGGAGAAGCTCATCCAGACGGTGCACGCGTACCCGGTGCTTTATAACGCGTCGCTGCACGATTATCGCAGCTCGGAGCGGAGGGTGAAGGCGTGGAGGGAGGTCGCCGCGTGCGTCGGGCTCTCCGGTCAGTGCGGCAACATCACGCGCGCGTTTGACTGTAACAGTGTTTCCGTTTTGCAGACTTTGATGAAATTGCACGGCAGGTATACCGCGAGCGACGCGTTGTGATCTGACGCGCTTTGAACGATGGACAGCGCTTCGCTCCGGACGCGTTCTCGACTGCTTATAAAGAGCGCGTGCTTTCTAGACGCGTCGGATTCGACGCGCGCGTGAAGATCCGAGCACTGCATTAATGCAGCAAGACGGAGATCTGAGCAGATCAGAGCCAGTCCACGCGTTATTGGTGATGCATATCTCATATTCTGCGCTCGTCTGATGGCCTGGATATAATATGCATCATCAAATAACAGAAAATGCTTCAAGTGTAGATTACAGAGTCATGGTTTATATTTCTGTGTTAACGCCACATCAGCAGCAGTCCTCACTTCAGCACATCATCTACAACAAGCTAACATCAGCCCAATAAACATTCTGGAGTTCTTCCCGCAGCGTCTGCTTTCTGAACAAGAGTTTCTGAGCAGAGGCGTGTGTGTCCGTGGCTTGAGAAAGAGTCTCGAAAGCTGCAGATGTGAATCTTCCTGAGTCAGATCTCAGAGACTCGCAGGTCCGGGGCTCCAGAAGCTCACACTGATCTGACTGTGTTTTTGCGTCTGCAGTGGTGGAGAGCAAGCGCAGATGGAAGACCGTCAGGGACAGATACATCCGAGAGAGGAGGCTGTGGCAGCTGAGGAAGGAGGAGGGCAGCCGGCGCCTGCATTACTGGCCGCACAGAGAGAGCCTGGCGTTTCTGGACGCTCACATCAGGAGGAGGAAGCGTGGCGCTGAAGCCGAGGCTCCGGAGGAGCTGCAGGACGAGTCCAGCGGCGACGACTCGAGAGCAAAGAGCAAGCAGTTCCTGCTCAACATCCCGGAGTCGGAGCAGCAGCTCAAGCCCTCGTCCACCGTCACACCGGTCCCGCCGGTGACCCAGCTGCTGCTCGCCGGTCTGCCTCCTGCACTGAAGCTGTCGCAGGCGTCCGCTTCGACTCCACAGCCGCTGGCCGTCATGACAAACACCGGCAACCTCAGCGCGAAGACGGAGGAGAACGAGGCGCCGAAGAGCTGCGAGAAAGCCGCGCGAGCGTTCGACGAGGACGAGCTGTTCCTCTTGAGTTACGTCCCTGCGCTCAAAAGACTGACGCCGCAGAAAAGAGCCGCCGTCAAGATGCAG